TCTTTTGTCTAATATTTCTGTTCTTTTTCGCCTACTGGAGATTCTTCTTGAGGTGTGGTGTTCCTACAACGACCACAGGCATGCTGTCACATAGCATTTCCATCTTTAGGGGTCTTTTTTGGTGACACTTTTTGACACTTCCATTGCTGCGTCTAATTGCTCGTCCACGATCGTAGGAACTCAAATGATATCTTGGTAACATTTTGCTCTTAATTTTTGCAACACCAATCTGAATTTTACAGTAATAAGTTCAACTACCCATGGTGCTATTTCGGTCAAATATCAAATATGAATTTTCGAATGAATGAAGAGATTGTGTTCGCTGCTTTTATACAGATAATCGGTACTGCTCTGTCACGCCCTCTACACTTGATTTTACTCTTATTAGTCGGCTGCAAAGAACGCTACTCCATAAATCAGTTGTTCCATATCAATTGTCAAGCAGTCTAATATCCAGTTTTTTCAATTTATCCACTTGAGTAAGGAACTTATTTATATGGTCGCTCATTAGTTTTGTTTCGCTCATTTTTGTAAGAGCAGTTGTTTTAGCCCTGTTTTCTAGCATGACCTTTCTGTTCATATGCTTCTTTCAGCTTATTTCACAGTTCTTGGGAAGTTTTAACACTGTTTGCTTGAGATAATTCACTAGAATTATTTGAAAGTATGATATCAGCATGAGCTTCTGGTTCATTGGAAATCCATTTGGCAATTGCATCAGCTCCTTCTCTTGGTTTCTTTTCGTCTCCGGTTAGAAAGCTGCAGAGATCACTTTTTATCAAAATTGCTTCTATTAGGAGTTTTCATGCATAAAAATTATCTTATGAGAGTTTTTCGATCGTCAGAAATTATTGCTTTTCGTTTTGCTACGTAGCAACTTGCTTGTTTTCTCAGTTTTACAAAATAGCGTCAGTTTCACGTCAGATGAGCTTTCTCTAAATCTCGTGTAGATTTAAAAGAGAGGAATGAACATTGAGTTCCAACAAATGCGGAATTAAAATAAATAATAAAGATCTACCTTATCAGATTTTGTTCAAACAGCGTGAAATGGATGAAATAAAATTTATTTTCAAAATTATGATAATTCAAGTTCATAAAAACGAATAAAATTTTTATAAATTTTTTTTTTTTGTCTTTATTTTAATAAAAGTTTCGTTTTGAGTGGAAAATATTAATAAAATGCTTTTTTCTAGGTTGTAAAAGTATTCTTGTCTGCAATAAATCTATATTGAGAGTTAAAAACAATCAGTTAGTCTTTCAAAATTAAAATTTTTAAGCAATCGAAGAACCAAATTCAATTAGTAAGCAAAATTTTATTTTTTTCACAAAATTTTATCTATTAAAAAATAGTTTATTGTTTTATAAACTGAACATAAAAGAGTACACTGTTTTATAAACTGAGTAACTTAGCATAAATATATTTTGAAGTTAATGCACAAGATCTTTCTATAAATAGTTTTAATTATGGGCGAAGTTTATTACAAAATGAAAACATGTGATAAAGATTGCAATTTTAATAGTTAATTTTCCATAATTTCTCTTTGTTGATTTCAACGGTTTATTTTAAGAAAATGGTTTAAGAAACCTTCAAAGCCTGCCTGTCACTTATATTAATTTCAATGAAACCACTCAACTCAAATAATAATTACTAGTGTTTTACTAGTGTAAATTTTATTTAATTTTTTTATCATCCGAGTATATTTGTCTGATTTATAATCAATGTTAATGTTCAGTTTCACATACCTTTTATTATGTCCACAGTTTTGTCATATAATAATTTGAACAATTGTAAGCATCTGAACCACTATATTACAGATGTTTATAAGAGTTGGCGATTTAATAAATTATTTTCTATGCATAATAAAATCGTTAAATTGTAATAATGGGTCTTTAAACTCAATGGAAGGAAAACTGTACAAAAATTCTTGTTTTTTCCAAAGACATCCCTTAATTTTATTTCTTTATAACTATTTTGTTTTAAAAATTATTTAATATTTGAATTATAAAAACGCTTTATAGGACTTATCCCAATATTTATTGTATTATTTGGATAAACGAATATCTGTAAGTTTGATGTACCTTATTAACTTTTGATCCAGTATTACAAGTAAAAGGACTGTTTGAGGGATCTCATTTTAAATATGCAAAATTACGTAGTGTAGATGATATTTTAAGTTATGAAATAAAACGCAAAATAGATCTTTCTCTGAAAAAACTACAAGCATTTTTTTCCGCAAAGGATTTTTACTGACTCTCTAAATGGGGTTTTCGAAGTTTAGAAAATAGGGTCCTAATAGTTTAGCCGAAACAGCGAACAAAAACTTGAACCTGCTAATTAAAATTTGACCTTTTGCATAGTTTGACTTATGTTTGGAACTAACAAAACAAATAAAAAAAATATGCTGTTGTAAAGACTGATTTAATAAATTTGTGAGCGACGGAACAAATTTGAATTATGAAGAATACAAAATTTACACAAATTTATTCTACACCAATTCAAATAAAAAATAAAAATTGCAAGGAATCGGTTAAATAGGTCAGAAGACATAGAAATGCAAAAATACTACTTTTTGGGGATATGGAAATACACAGAAAGTAAAAATAACAACAAAGGGCACCAAACTTGCATTTCTGCATAATCTTTCGTGTTAATATATTACCCCGATTGCAATTACCCTTTATTTTGAAAATATAAAATCCAAAGACTTGAAAAAAATGCTTGTTTAGAGAAAGTGTACGTTGTTCCTATGTGTGATTCCGTAACTTAAAATATTGCCCGCACAAATTTATCAGTATACTTCAATTAAAATTATCATCTCTGTGCATATTTCCAAAAATATTTCGAGTAAACTTTGCCAAAATGCGCGATAAATAATACAGTTAAACAACTCCCGCTTAACATATTAATTTAAAAAAAATTCACGATGGAGTTCCAATTTAACTAAGAAATTGTTATTGTATTAGACAGGAGCCTTAGAGTTTATTGTACAAAATATTAGAATTTGGATTCTAATTTTAGATCGCATTTAAAACACAGACGAAGAGAATAAAGACAACTCTTAAGTTAAAGTAACATATTATAACCAATAATGTTCTTCGCCAGTGGAATGAACTAAACTTGATGACGCATTCAAGGCAAACTTTAGTTTTTTGATAATTTGTAATTGAATAATTCGAATAAATTTTAAACTGATAAACCAGGGACTATGAGGAAAAGTAATTATTCGTGTTGAAGACGGAAACAGACCTGTCGATTAACTGTCATGAGCCCATGAGTGTTAACCAGAAGACTAGCTATTTTGTCGCCATCTTCCGGAAAAATCTTTACTTCCCTATCAGAGTGAAATTTTTCGATTCGTCCTTGTTGGCTGCTTGCCAGTTTTCCATATTTCCCCAGGGCAATTAGTATATGATTTCAGAACGTCAAATACTGCCCGTAAAGAAAATTCAACCAGAGTGACGCTACCGGTATCTTCTATACAAATTCAGAAAAAAAAATTTGAAAAATCATTTTTTTTTCTAAATTTTTTGCAGAAACTTTGGAGATTGCTTAAGATTCTAATTCTTACATACAAAATATTTCATTACTCTTTTTTTTTTTTAAATCGATTTTTTTAATTCAAAAAACTCCTAAATGATCATTTTTAAGCAAACATTTTTGATTAAATGTACTCTTTCCATATTCCACGATGGAAAAATGAAATTTCCGAAAATTCTTTCGTTATTGTTGAAAAAAGTACTTCTTCATTGAGAGGAATCAAACCCAGAGAAAATTGCTTAGAAGTGAGCACACCAACACCTGTGCATTCCCACCTGATCATGGAAAATGTCTTAAAACCAGATTAAAATGCCCTGAGATGACACATGAGTGGGAAAGCAGAAATGTCAATAATTTTAAAACTCCCGTTTTGTTAAAAACCTCGTTATTTTTAAATAAAATTTGTAACTTTGTAAAAATATATCAGTTTTAAAATTATAAGAATCTTAAAAATCTGATAACTTTTGACCAAATACTTGGATAGTATACTTTACAATGATTGAGTTATTATTGAGAATTTAACTATCTGAAAGGAAAACTTTCTTTAAAATGAAAAATTTTCTTTCCGGGAAGAAGTTTTTTAATCCTTTAACAAGTTTTATCTGTTATATTTACAGTCCATTTTAAAATCAACATGTTTATACTAATTTTCAGTAACCAGGATATTATTTGGGAAGGGCTAATATATTGACGACAATATGTTCCTTTCCTTAACTTCATAATTTTTTTTATCACACTTACTAGTACCTAATAGGATTTGGGCTAAAAATATGTAATGAAAATTAATAGAAAAAAACCCATGCAGAATGCATAATTTACAGAAACCAGGATATTATTTGGGAAAGGCTGATGTTTTGACAATATGTTTCTTTTCATAACTTCATATTTTTTATGTCCTTCACTAGTACATAATGTGATATGGGTTAAAAATATGTAATGAAAATAAATAGAAATATGCCATGCATAAAGCATAATTTACAGTAACCAGGATATTATTTGGGAAAAGCTGATGTTTTGACAATATGTTTATTTTCCTAACTGTCAAATAACAATTGGGAATGACTATCAAAAGTTGCAAAATACAGTTCAATAAATGTTAAAAATGGGCGTTTAATTTCTGAGAGAAAAAAATAGACAAAAATCTTTAATTTTTGTTAAATAAGAGTTGAATGATTTATATTCTTTACATGTATCAAAAACTAGTCTTAATAGCAGGTATGTAAGTACCTATTTTCTTTTAAAATTAAAAACAAAAAATTTACATTAAATAATTGTAATATTTTTATGAAACTTTGCATGTTATGAAAAAAAATCAGTTGGTCAGAAAATTGCCATGATAATTCGATTTCTTTTAATACTTTCAAATTTAGCTATCGGAATACAACTGTTTTTTTTCAATAAAATATTGAGTTTCTTGAGTTGAGTGGTTTTCTAAATAAATTTTGCAGTCGGGAGAAATTCTTACCTGAGATAGCATAGCCAGGAAACCTTTGTTTTCAGCCGCTTCTACAGCCAAAATTTCTTGCTAGAAGGAAAAGGAAAAAATTAAGTATTCATTTTTTTCCCCGAAGTGTTTTTCAGAGTTTTTTGTTTTCAATGAAAATTTGACTCTTACATTGAACTTCGACTCATGTTAATTTTTTAACGGCTTTTTTTTTCTCACCATTCTCTTACGTTCTCTCAACTTTTATCAATATAGTTATCAAAATGATTTAACATAATTTCGTGAAATTTGGAGTAGGCTTATTTCAATATTTTTTTACTTTAATGTATTTTTTGGAAATGTTTTTAGTTATTGCATAAATACTAAAATACTGAAAGAAAATACTGAAATATTTGAAAAATTATCTTAAGGATGGATAAATAAATTTAAAGTACTTAATTGAATCAATTTTTTTTGTGTCTGATCAAAACACTAAATTGCTTTATATAAACATCTTTCCCACTGTAATATAATTAATTTATTTCTACCATTTGTTCAGAATATTGACAATTATCTGTCTTTGTTAAACTCTCATTTTCACTTGTAGACATTTAAACACCAATAAATTTTTTTGGTGTTATATTAGCTTTGTAAACACCTGAAATGTTAAAAAAATCACCTTTTTGGTAAAAAAATAAAATTTAAAGTAGAAAAAAATTATTTTCCATTTTTCACTGAATTTGTTTTATTTCGCATATTTTTTACTTAATATGATCTATTTTCGTTTCAATTTTTGGATAGTCTGCACACTATTGTATTACTCCCACTACTTTTAACTCTACCTTTTATTAAAGATGTGTTTGCATCTGAAATGAGATTGTAATTTTACTTTGTCATCTTTTGAATGAAATTTGATTTTTATTTTGTGAGGCAGAAGCCTATGAAGAAACTTTATAAACTGATATTTTTTGAAACAAATATTTGCATTAAATACACCTCAAACATAGAACAAACAACTCTATAGGCATAACTATTTTACTTAAAATGACATTTCAACAATAACATTGATGGAATAATAAAAAATAACTATTAACATTGAGTGGTCGAAATTTTCGACAGCTTTCCTAAATAAACTTAGAATCGCATTTTCTAGATTGCTACTAACGTCCATATTTTTTGAATGTATAAATTTTAAATCTGCCTAAAATATATATATTTACTCAGACAAGTTAAGTTTTCCTGCTTTATTCAATAACTTAAAATCTTGTTTTCACTAATCAGTGAGAGTATTTAAGTTTATAAAGATTGTCCCAGTACATTAAAATCCGATCTTTAGATCAAACGTTATTAAAGATTTTATTTTTATTTTAAGCGCTGTATTTTATTTATAACATGACAAAGCATGAAGAATACTAAAAATTTAAATGGGATTAAAATACAAAGTTTTATAAATTAGAATTTCATATTTAAAAGTTGATTGCATCTGAAAAGATGCATTTTGAAATGAATGTAGTAGAATAAGATTCTTTAATGAATTCTAGAGAAGAGAAAAGTATAGTGATAGGCATAAAATTACTTTCTTGGAAATGAGAATCGAATTTTAGATTTGGTGGGAATTCATTAGGGGAACGTTAAGTGACTAATTAACATATTAACTGAAGAGATTATCTCCTTGTGGAACGAAGTTTGCTGATTGTATGTCGTTTGTTGTCATTATGCAAGAAGAGGAACTCCCTGCGAGGATTACACGATTACAACATAAAACAAAGTCTGCTTTAGTTGAAAAAAAGTGAAATTAGATTAGACAATATTCATTTTTTAAACGTATCAGTGATACAAGATGTTAGTTCTTCTGTTTTGAAATTAGTTACAACTGTTGAGTCTTGTACCTGTAGAATTAAATTTACCCTTTCTTTTGTATATGTATGCAAACGTTTTTGTATAGTTCACTCTCAGCTATTTCAAATTAAATGAGTATTTTTTTAAATTAAAGACTGTTTTATTTTGTGCTGCTTTTCTAAGAAATTTAACCATAAATCTGGCATTTACTAAGTGAAAATTATCGTTTAGTTTTAATCAAATTCAGTTATTTAAATTTTATGCAAAACTATGTATATCTTCAAAATAATTAAATAAAAGAAAAGTCAAATAATGAAAAAAAAACATTAAAAAAAAGCAATATTTTTACAAAATATTTTACAGATTGAAATTTTGTTCGTTGCTACTTTGAATAAATAAATATATGCGACTCATATACGAATTTATGTAAGATATGCTTGCTTAAGAGTGATACGGGTTTTAAAGTGACATAAAAAAAAAAGCACGTGTAAGTCAGCAGCATTACACAATTATGAGGAGACATTTGATTTCTTATAAGAAGTCTATTTGAAAGACTGCAAATGTAAAGGAGCAGTAAAATAAAGCCGAAGGATTGGGGGTTGCACAGGCACTTACAATCGAAAATTTTAGAATAAGCAGGTGGATCATACTCGTTAAGTTTTTTTTTCTTTGCTCAATAATGTATGTACAAACTTTAGTGAGGAAAATGGATATCAAGGAACTGATTACGACAGCAGCATTGGTGATCTTACACCCTTGTGCAAATTAATTGAAACAAACTTTTTTTTTCGTGTTTTTTAAAGAGGATGTTTTGGGGTTGTTTCGGTTACAATGGGGTTGGACCTTTGCAGCCTATTGACGGTATGATGCGTTCTGAGCAGTACCTTACTATTCTGGGTAAAAAAGTTGTTCCAGAGTTGAAGAAACGATACCCTGATGGAACAGGGATTTTTCAACAGGATTTAGCTCCTTGCCATATGTCCAAAATTGTCAAGAAATTCATGTCTGAGAATCAAATTGAGACATTGGAATGGCCAGGGAACTCTCCAGATATCAACCCAATTGAGAATCTCCGGGCCATATGCAAGAATCGCCTATTAAATCTGGACTGTACAACTATGGAGAAGCTAATCACGGCGTTAATTCATGTGTGGTACAAGGACACAAATATTATAAATGACTGCAAAAAATTAGTGGAATCCATGCCAAATCATGTCCAAATGTTAATAAAGTGTCGTGGAGATTATATTATGTACTAAAAATTTTTGAGTTTGTATAAATTTAAATAAAATAGCATTTTCTCTTAGTTTTCTGAATTTATTGAGTTTGTTTCAATTAATTTGCACAAGGGTGTATTTCTTTTTATTCGAGCAGTACTAGTTGTAGACTTGGAAAAAGACACCCTCCACGGTAGCAGGCATTGCAGATTATCAATCTGCAAATCATTTTTGAATTCAGATTTTTCTTTATTTTTAAAAGAAGAAAAAAATTACCAAGACTAATTTTTAAACATTTCTAAACTTGTTTTTACCGCTTCCCTAATTATCCCGAATTAACTCGGGTGTGTATGTATTGCAAATATTTATTATCTCGAGTAAACTCGGGCATAGCAGAATTCGTCAATATGTTTCGTTTTATCACGTTTTTACTTGGCTGGAAGCAAAACAAAAAATAATGATAATCTACTGTGATTGGAAGTTTGCCAAATTTGTTTGGGAGTTCTGCTGTTTGTGGGACTGCAGACGTGTTTTGTGCAATTGTATATACGATGGTTGATGAATTTACATTGAAAAAAAAGAGTAAAAAAAGGATGTTTGCGAGTGAAAGTAAAAGTAATGCAGATGATTTTTCAGATTATGAAAATATGAACACATACAAAGACTGATATTGAACTTTTTTCATTTGCCCGAGACAATTTGGGATCGTAAACTGATAGTAAATTAAATATTTTTCAAGCATAAAAAATTTAAGTTTCAACTTACAAGGGAAACTAGGGAAGTGTGACTCGCCAATTTTGAAATAAACTAGTGGGATGTATGCCTTATGAGGAATAATTTTAGGGGGCAACATTTGTTTCGGCCCATAGAAGGTCCTGTGAGAGATAAAAAATAATTCAATATATAGAAAAATCGGTATTTTATTATTTCAATGCAGACTATTAGTTATTGTAATTGTCTCATACTCCAATTAATTTGTAATTAATTAGTTAAATAATTAACAAATTAATTATTAATTGATAATCAATTATTATTTAATTATAGATTAATTGTTATTTAATTATTGATTTATTAATTATTAATTGATTTGCAATTACATACTCCAATTAACTAGGAAAATTTTTTGAAAAAAAAAAATTAAGAAATTTGATGTCAAATTCTTTTTAAAATTAACCTAACAGGTTTTTCTGAAAAACTACAGATATATAAAATTTTCGAAATCAATTTTGACAATAAATCTGCATTATATAGTACGTGAAAGTACCACAAAATTAATTGGAGTATGAGATAATTACAATAACTAATAGTCAGCATTGAAGTAATAAAATATCGATTTTTCTTTACATTGAATTATTTTTTATCTCTCACAGGACCTTCTATGGGCCGAAACGAATGTTGCCCCCTAAAATTATTCTTCATAAGGCATACATCCCACAAGTTTACTTCAAAATTGGCGAGTCACACTTCCCTAGTTTCCCTTGTTAGAGCTTGTGTATTATGTTTTGTTTTTGTTCCTTGTATTTATTAATGAAATAAAAAAATATGTTGATGTTTTGCATTTTGTTTTCATAAAAATTGCTAAGAAAAGCGGTTAATCAATATTATAAAGCTAAATTAAGCGAACCTGGCAAAGATCGAAAGTTAAGAAAATACCTTTTTTCTGTTACATCATTACTAGACCGTGGGTAGAATGCATTTATCTTTGAAGTTCATTCCTATGCCATCAGGGCATTTTTTTTTCTTCCGGCAAGTGATTTAAGATGCTTTAGTATTTTTAATTTTAGAAAGGTTCTCCAAACATTGTTTGCTCAAAATTTAATAACTATTGCTTTTAATTCGCTCTCTTATTTTTAAAACACTTTCGTAATCCCCATCAATGAAATTGTCGAATTAGTTTTTTCTCCGCCAAGCTAATAAATCTCACAATCGCTAACAACAATATTTGTAAACAAATCGTTAAGAACTCTTGTGGTGACGGTATTTTTCTGGAATTTTTTTTAATCTTTTAAAACAAATTTTAACCAAACAAAATTTCTTTTAAGAGCC